TAAAACATCAAAATGCTTAAAATATATTATTAAAATATAACATTATTAATAAATAAAAAATACATTGATAGTGTATTATAATATCATATTATGCTTCCTACGCTATACGCGTATAATGCTAATTTGAGTACTTTTCAATGTTTCATAACTTTAAAACCAGTTGAGTCCACAAAATAAAATTATAACAGGATAATACTCTTACTTAGTACTATATCTGAGCCAAATTTGAAATTTTTATTTTCATGCCCAACATAAAGTTACACACACATACATACATAAAGTTAATTTTTGAGGTTGGTTATTATATTAAACGTCAAACTTTTGAAATTTTGAAAATTTTAAGATTTTGAAATATTGTATTTAATACCCTATGCAAGTCCACAACTTGAAACTTTGAGAATTTGGAGTACACACCTATAACTATCAGATAAAAAAATAACAAACACATAGTCAATTGCCTTTATGTAAAAATAAATTGTTAAAAATCTGTTTTCGTAACATCGTTGCGTTAAACTTTAAACAGGTAATTAGACCTATATATTTAGTTTTAAGTGCATAACTATACTACCATATTAAAGTTTAGATCTTTCTGAAGAGATTGGTTTTTATTTTAATGTTCTAGGATTAGTAGAACCAGAGATATTTAATTTAACGTAGAGCTCTGAAATCGCTGAAAACGGGCATTCGACTAACAAAAAAATGGCCGCCATAAAGTAGAAAAATTTAATAAAAATAAAATAATTGTATTTTTGTACTTCTAATGATATGTACTTTCAAGGATAAAAATTTAAAAAAAATTAAAAATCTTGAAGCAACTACCTTTGGACCACTTGAAATGGATTGACCCATAGTTGATAATTATTACAGAATTTACATTCGTCTGTTGTGATTTAAAGCAGTACTGTAGCACTGTAGCCTACCGGCCTATCACGAGCAGTAGCTTACCAAACTCTCTACTGTTTTGTTTTGTTCTTTACGTGGTTTATTGCTATACAATACAGTGTTTGGCTAGGTTTTAGGTGAGTTAGAGAAAGCTATGATTTTAAAATTACAGTTTATACATGTACCAAGGTCAATGACTAGAAATGTCATGATTGCGCAATATTAAAGAATCCTATCCTTTAGTACCCCGGACAAAGGGAAACTGGTCGATAATTGTCCGGATTTTGTCTCTCGCCCTTCTTGAAGAGAGGTTTGAGCTCTGCATATTTTAAATGGTCTAAAAAAAAAACTTTTCCAGACCATTTAAAATATGCAGAGCTCAAACCTCTCTTCAAGAAGGGCGAGAGACAAAATCCGGACAATTATCGACCAGTTTCCCTTTTACCATCATTTTCAAAAGTGTTTGAAAAATTAGCATCCAAACAAATCTCAAACTTTCTCGAGAATAACAATATCTTGGCTAATGAACAATTTGGTTTCAGAAAGCGCTTAAGCACAATGAAAGCTTTATCAGATTTGATTAGTGAGGTTTCATGGGCTTTGGATGGGTCACAGAGCACAATGGGAGTGTTTTGTGACCTATCCAAGGCATTTGACTGTGTCAACCATGATATACTTTTAAAAAAGCTAAAAATGTATAACTTTTCAAAAGAATCTGTTTTATGGTTGACTTCATACTTGACAAATCGATTTCAAAGAACAGTAATTTTTAAAAATAATGAAAAATCAATATCAGAATGGGAAAAAATTACAGTTGGTGTTCCCCAAGGGTCAATTCTCGGACATTTACTCTTTATTTTATATATAAATGACTTGCCTAAAAATGTTTCCAACAACCTTGTTTTATATGCCGACGATACAACTGCAGTTGTCAAATCTAAAAATGATTCAGAACTATCTCTCAAAGTTAAACAAGCCCTATCGGAATTGGAACGGTGGTTCAATATTAACGGTTTAAAAATGAATCAAGATAAAACCCAATTGGTAAAGTTTTGTACTGCTCAGGCAAGAGAGTTTAGTGACCAAAATTTATGTGTTCAAGATGATGCAAAATTTCTCGGATTGTACGTAGACTCAAATTTAAATTGGAACAAAAGCATTGAAAATTTGATTAGTAGACTGAATTCGGCATGTTATCAAATGATATGTTTAAGAAACACAATTGACTTAAAAACTTGTTTGATGTTATATTATGCATACTTCTATTCAATTCTTCAATATGGAATTGAATTCTGGGGCTTTGCATCAAACATTGATTTAATTTTTAAGATACAGAAAAGGTTTTTAAGAATAATGATATTTGCTCCTTGGAGAACATCATGTAAACCTATTTTTAAAGAATTAGGGATAATGACTGTTCCGAGTTTAACCATTTTTAAAACACTTTTGATGGTGGAGGGAAATTTTGAAAAATTATCTAGTGAAAATGTCAAGCATAAGTACGATACTAGGTTTAAATATAATTTTCAATATCCGCGGCACCGTCTTTCATTAGTAGAAAAAACTCCGACATACATGGGCAAAAAGTTTTTTAATAAATTGTCTCAAGAGCTCAAAAACAAAATACAGTCTAAGCATTTCAAGAGCAGCCTTACTAATTTTCTTTTAAGGGAAACATATTATAGTATAGATGAGTTTTTATGTGATCAAGATGTGTAATTATTTGGTATTTTAAATGCAATGTTTAAGTTTATCTATTTTGTCTACAACAATTATTTCTATTTTCATAGCGTTAGTTTATTTTATTCTTTTATAACTCCTTAGTTTTAAGGTATTTGTATACTGTATTGACAATGTCACCTGTTTTATAGTATTGCTATATTTTGTAAACGTTATGTGACAATAAAGATTTATTTATTTATTTATAATCGAGGTTCTACTTTACAATGTAAACACTGTAATGTAAAGTATTGTAGCCTATGCTACTTTAATTGTGTTTTAATGAGATCAAATCACGACCTATATTGACTGATGCTGGTTCTGAACCTCGACTTAGCGAAATTCCTGCAAACCTAACCTCAATATAACGAACCTCGTTTTAACGAAATCCTTGATATAACGAATATTCAGTTCGGTCCCTTCAGATTCGTTATACCGAGGTTGGACTGTACATATATATACATACAAACATCCTCTTTTATACTTATAGATTTAATTATCAATGTACTTTATTGGTAGGCCTACTGTATTAATAAATTGGCAGATTTTTGTCAAATTTTACACCAAATTTATTGATATTTCAAGGTGAATATCAATAAAACAATTACTATTACTAACAAATATTTTTATTCATTTAAAAGATTGGTTTATGGTATTGGGTTCCCCACTGAGTGCAGCCGAGCGGCACTAATGAGGGTTCAACCGCCTTGGAGGTGGACAATAGACGGCTTATCAGACCCGACTCTATGTTTCAAAATCAAAAAACAATAATTTGGGACCATACTGCATGACAATAATGGACTGCAATTGTTGAACATAACAATCCATTTTTAACTAACTAAGATTAAGTTATAGGCCTACTATTCAAATACAATTTTAAAAATTATCTTGGTATTTTACTTGGGGTAATGAAGTTATGTAGGCTAGTGTAATTCTCGGTTCATCAAGGTTCTACTGAATTATGTTTGGCAGTGAATAAGTGTAGAATGAAATTTATAAATTCAGGGAAACACACCTTTTACAGAGTTATAAAACCTAATTGCCCTAATTAACTTGCAGATTTGAGCTAGAGCCCAGCTTAGTGCATTAGTGGTTTTCTAAACTTGGCTAACCCCAGAATGCCACTTAAGGCCAATATAATCCATTCCAAAAACGTAAGGAAATACAATGTGAAAATAAACTTTTCCTATACAGTTACCTAACAATGAATTTGAACTGAATTTGAACAACATGTTCTCTCACTGATTTGAGAAAGCAAAGTGGCCAATTCGCTCTAATTACTTTGTCTCACTCACTTCAGATTTGGAACGTGAAGGCACGAAATAGTGAGCGCGTAACATGCAGACAAGGTCGTATGCGCGCGAAATACGTTGGCAGCACTGGATGTAAATCAGCTGGTCAGCTGTTGTACTGTTGTATCATTAAATGTAATATTAAAAGTTCACTTCTGTGTAAAAATATGTCACGTTTCTTTACCAATTTATTTGTTTTATGGTAACTGTAGGAAAAATATAATGTACAACTCGAGTGCAAAGTGCAATTGCCTCACTCGAGAAACCATTCCTCACTCCCCTACGGCTCGTGAGTAAGTATTTCTCTCAAGTGAGTCAATTGCTCCCTTTGCTCACTAGTCGCACAAATAAATATTTACTTGTGAGAACCAGGAAACAACATAAAACATAACCTCAAGTAAACAAGCCCAAACGTTTGACATCAGTCACCTGCTGAGCTAAAGTGTTGTGTGAAGATTTCTGGCTGCTAGTGTACTTAATTCAAGCAACCAACTTTTGAAAATAGATGTTGAGAATTGTGATTTTCAAGAGAGAAAAAAAACTGTGGACGGTGGCTAATTTGAAAATTTTATGATTCAAAATCGTCATTTAAGTTTATTTACACAGCTTTATAGTGTTTTATAGGTTAAAAATACATATGCAGCTTATTATTAACGGCGCCGAACTATCCGAATCCGAAAATATCCAAATCCGAACCTCCTCATATCCGAACCGAGCCTCAACTATCCAATCCGAATCCGATCCGAAATGAAATTTCACCATCCGCACACCTCTATAGGTATCCAAAGCGAGCTCTCAAGCCAATAGTTGAGGGATAGAGTCATGTGACCTTGCTCAGAGCCTTGCCACATAAATGAATGTTGTAGATGTTGTTGGAACCATGTGGCTACAATTGTACTCATAGTTGCTGCAAGAGGAAGTTAAGTGAGTAATGTGACCGTAATCCTTGCACAGATCCTTGCCACATACATGAATGTTGTCTATATTGCAGGAACCATGTGGTTACTATTGTACTCACGGTTGCTGCAAGAGGAAGTTTAGTGAGTAATGTGACCGTAATCCTTCCTCAGAGCCTTGTTACATATTTGAATGTTGCCTATATTGCAGGAACCATGTGGTTACTATTGTACTCACAGTCGCTGCAAGAGGAAGTGTAGTGAGTTGTGTGACCGTGAACCTTGCTCTGAGCCTTGCCATAAAAAGCTGCCTTGCAAACATGCTTGTGTAGGCTTCTGTGGTGAACCTTGTCCTCCATGCAAGCAGTGTTCCCCGGAACGCTACCAGCCACATTATGATATATTTGGTGGGCCTGATGAGGAAGATGACCTTACTGAAAGGTAAAGTAGCTACGTTCTCTCTGTCTTTGCAAAATAAATCAGTGATATATTGGTAGTAATCTGACATGAACTGGTACTACATGAAGCACCCCCTCCCCTGTCTAACGGGACAAGGTGTAGGAAAAGAGAAAGTTTGTCAGAATGGCAGACTTGCCCTTTGTAAAGTCTGGTTCACATGCCCTCCCTCACCCTCAGTCGCTCGCATAATTCTACTAAACAAAAGTTTCTGAGTGTTAATTTTAAAATAAATGTTTGAATTCAATGACTAAAGCATAGATCTGATAGAACTTTACTCTAATTTATAAATGGGCTTATCAGAATGTATCAGCCATTTGCCATTTTTTTCTTCTTCTTTACTTTTATATGTAAAGACTAGCTGACCCAGCGAACTTCGTATCGCCTAAGTTATAGGTTTCCCCTAAGACAGACCGATGGAAAGAAAGTACCGTTACGTTTAATTTTCAAGATGATCTCGTTCGCATCGCTCAATCACGTCCTGGTTGAAGTTCGTTCGCTACGCTCACTCACCTTTGGGTTGGAGCTCGTTCGCTACGCTCACTCACCTTTAGGTTGGAGCTCGTTCGCTGCGCTCACTTGCCTTCAGGTTAGCTCGTTCGCTACGCTCACTCGCCTCCAGGTTGAAGTTCGTTCGCTACGCTCACTCACCTTTTGGTTGCAAATTAGCTGTTGTCATAAATGTAAAAGAAATAATAGTACTGCACCCTGTTGGTAATCCTTGTAACTTTAATGCTATTTAATTGAAACAGCTGTTAAGATTCATTAATTCCATTTCTCATAAGGTTAACATGGGAAACTCCAGAGCCACTGGGGCGGAGCCCTTTTAAGAATTTCGAAACGGGAAATAGTTTACTTCCTATTCGCATACCTACAGAATTTACACACCAAATTTCATAACGATCGGTGAAGTCGTTCCGGAGGAGTTTGCAGACAAACACTGTGACACGAGAATTTTATATATTAGATATCTTTTAATTTAGCCTACAAGAAAAGAAAGAATATGTTTTGTTTGGGATCTCCTTAATAAAAGAGAAAAGACTGCACGTTTGATACAGTTAATTTCAATAAGTTAATGTGCAACTATGCGACAATTTTTTCTAAAAAAATAACAGCTTACAGTGTAAAAGAATCGTGTGCACTGTGCAGCAAAATATGTTTCTTCGGGTGCTTTTAACAAACATTCCATAGTTTTAATTAATTTCAAAAGTGTTTATGTTCCTGATGATACCAAGAGCAAGGCTGGGCAGAATGGATTCACTGTGAACCAGCCGGGTACGACGTAACTACAACCATAGATAAAACATACTCCCTTGAGTTGGTTAGTCTATGCTACAACTTCAACTTCCTTCCGTGCGTGAAGGGGTGGCAACGATCGATTGGAACAATCGATGTTTTGATCCAAAAATATTCATATTGATATATAATCGGAAAAATAGATGTTTTATTAAAATATTATGTAAAGCCATATGTCAAGATTTAGTTAACTGATATAATTGAACGTCAAATCTAGGTCTTTGTAAGACAAAAGAAAATCACACCGTTTTAAACTTTTAACCTAATTTTATACTCTTTATAAACAAACACATTCTACATATCGGTTCTCGATATTTATCAATGTATCTCTAAACCCTTCCCACAATAATAGACTCACACACAAATAACGACATCAAAGCAATCGTCATTTGCTCCATTGAAACACGAACGTCGATTGGCTGACATGACAGTGCAGCGTGGCCTCTCGACCAATGAGAACTCTTTTTACATACTTTGATTTATCTTAGATAGTCAACATTCACCATTCATTATAATATTACAAAATTGACATGGACTATGCGTATGATGTTTTTCAATCAATAAATATGTTATAGTAGCACTTAAAACTTCACTTAATCTCTTAAACTAGGTAGATAGAGATAGTACAGATATAATATGGATCTACTTTTTGGTGCAATAGGCAAGTGCAAGCCTAACCCTCTGATTTCGACGATGTTGTAATTGAATCAAATTTTTCTTATTATGCGTAATACAGGGATGAAACTGAACATTTAGACAAGTTTTGGTTATTTATTTTGTTCTAAAAATAAAAATAATACATAATACATAAGGTCTGACTTATTGATACAGACATTTTTTAGTATAATTTCATGTTGAAGACACTCACGCACCGGTTGTCTGAGACTGAATTCTGACTGTCTGACATCTTGAAATGTAGATTGTATTGTGTTGTGCAATATCATCTGCCTGCAGAGAGAACAGCTGAAGCTAAACCCGGGCACTTAAGCTGTTTTGAACTAAATAGTGTTCTAAGTTGGCTACTAAAGTTGTTAGCGTGATTAAAAAACTAATAGCTATCAAATAATTAAATGTTAAAATAAAATATCTATCCATCCCTGTCGGGTCCAAACCGTGGGGCCTGAGTTACAAACTTGTAACCAAGAAACTTGGAACCCGCTCTCCATCTTCCGTCATGGACAGGGTCACTATGGAGAGGATAGTCGAGTCCCTTTTCCCGGCTCACGCGTTGCGCCCACTGCGGGATTTTGGAAGGGTGGACGACGTCCCACTTTTCAGCCCTGAAGAGCTGGTGGCGGCCGTCATATCCCTGAAGAACAACAAAGCTCCTGGTCCCGATGGGGTACCCGGTGAAGTCCTCAAGAAGGTTTTGACAACCAACCCCTTGATCCTTTTGAGCATGTACAACGCCTGCCTGGTTGAAGGGGTTTTCCCCTTGTGCTGGAAGACAGCTAGGCTTGTGCTTGTTGGGAAGGGCAAGGGAGACCCAGATCTGCCATCCTCTTACAGACCTCTGTGTATGTTGGATACGGCTGGCAAAGTCCTCGAGAAATTGATCCGTTCCCGGCTAAATTCAGCCGTTGTCGCTGCGGGAGACCTCTCCCCTCGTCAGTATGGATTCAGGATGGGGCGATCAACGATTGATGCGATTGAGGAGGTGAAGCAAGCCGTGATTAGAGCTGAGGATTTTAACCACTACTCTCGCTGGGTTGTGCTGCTCGTAACGCTCGATGTGCAAAATGCATTTAATTCGGCGAGGTGGTGCGATATGCTGGACGCTCTGGAGAACACCTTCCACGTGCCGGCATACCTCATGCGCATCATAGAGGATTATCTCCGGTTTCGCCTCCTAACGTATGACACTGCGGAGGGCCCGCGGACAATGAGTGTCACTTCTGGTGCTGCCCACGGTCTCTCGCTTGCTCTGAGCAAAACCGTGATCGTGATTTTGACAAAAAAACGGATTGACACCATCGTGCCGTTGAGGGTGGGAGCCGTCGAGGTTCAAACTGTTCGTTCTGCCAAGTATCTTGGGGTCATGGTAGACAGCAAGCTTAGCTGGCGGGATCAGATCTTCCGTACAGCGGACAAGGCCGCTAGGGTGGTTTCTTCTCTTAGCCGGTTGATGGCCAATGTCGGAGGGCCTCGGTCCAGTCGTAGAAGGCTGTTAATGTCTTCGGTCCAGTCCGTACTCTTGTACGGTGCGGAGGTGTGGGCAGGCGCACTAAATAAGGAGGCGTACAGGATGCGGCTCGCCCGAGTGCAGCGTCAGGCAGCACTGAGGGTAGCATCTGCCTACCGAACAGTGTCCGAGCCCGCCGTCCTGGTGATTGCTGGAGTCATCCCCGTCAAACTTTTGGCGGCGGAGAGAAAGGCAATTTACCGGCGCCGTGGGGAGGACGAGGCACGAACAGAGGAACGCACCCGCACCTACCAGCTTTGGCAGGAGGGCTGGGAACAAGAGACACGGGGACTCTGGACCAGGCGACTGATACAGCAGGTCCAACCTTGGGTTGATCGGCGGTACGGAGAGGTGGACTTCTACCTCACCCAATTTCTGACGGGACACGGCTTTTTCCGGTCGTACCTGTTCAGGATGGGCAAAGCCGTGTCACCCTACTGCATATACTGCCCAGGCATTCTCGATGATGTGGAACATACATTTTTCCACTGCCAGCGCTGGGAAAGGCCCCGCCTGGAGGCTCAACAGTTAATAGGACTGCTGTCGGTGGACACGGTCATACCGATTATGACGGAGGGTGAGGACAATTGGACCTGTGTGTCACATTATATCCAGGGTATTCTCCGCGCCAAGAAGATCGACCTTGACCGGGATGCGGTGTAGGTCATTAAGAATCTAAATGCCAGAAACGGTGCGAGCCCTGAGGGCTTAGGTCACATGTTGGCCTGACTTGAAGTAATGTGACAAACAATTCCAGGTCTGTGTCCAACAGAGTAGAGGGGGTTTTTTAGTGAGTAGTCTGATAATTTTCAGGAGTCTCACACTACAGGCTGGCTAAAAGCATTTTCCCTCCTCTCCCTAAAAAAACAAAAAATCCCTGTCGGGTGGCGAAATCGACGTTTGGCAATCGATTCTTGATACCGATATTCCTAGTATTGGCAATGTCCGAGTATCGGTGGTATCAATAATCGACACATCCTTATCTAAAACTCATTTTGGAGTCCTAAATTAGTTTTAAATATGCATCGGGACGTAATTGTTGCATCGGGACTTAATCAATGCATCGGTCTTTTTTTATGCATCGGTCTTTTTTTATGCATCGAGGCCAAATCGATGCATCGTGATTTCGATGCATGCTGAATCGAATCGAAATTTCGATGCATCGCACACCCCTATTATAGACCCTTCTAAATAATTAGGTCCAGGCCTGAGTCTTTGGAGCTTTAAAATATACTAAGAAAGAAAATTCAATTGAGCCTAAGATGAAAGAACCAAGTTATAATAACCAAGTTTTAATTGGAAATAATTTACCAGTTGTGTGAAATTATCTTGTCAAATTGTTGTTTCAAACATGTTTATTACTAAAAATTCTTAACCTAATTTTAAAACCACTTTATCATGGCTATGACTTATCTTAGTTTTAAAATAGGTAAAACCTTTATCTTAAATTTATTCTTTGTTCTTGACACAATCCTGTTAGGAGTAAAAGGTTTTAATAATGTGGTAC